TTCAGCCCAACTGCTCTGCGTGGCCCAGGAGGAGCTGCGAGCAGAGGTGCCCCACCCATGAGCCCCTAGCCTCCTCCAGCCCAAAACTGGTCTTTGGAGCTTTTTCTCTCAAAACCACCTTTGCAGTGAGGATGCACAAAGAAGTAAGCTCTTTTTAAGTGCCATCTCGCAGCTGCTTCCTTGCACCGGCCCAGGGGTCTACAGGCTGGCTAACCTCTCCTGTAACTCATGGGCAAACAATCATAGAGCAGTATCAGAGGACCGCGTGGCTTCTTGTGTCCCAGTCTCGCGAAGATGTCACCACCCCAGGAAATAAAGGAGAGTGGTGGCACTGGCCCACATGGAGTAGGCTGCCTGCCTGCACAGGTCAGTCCGGTCCGTGGTGGCTGGGGCGAGACCAGGAAACAAGTGGAAGCTGGAGCAGGGGGTCTCACGAGGAGCTCGACTCCCCACCAGAGCCCACTGGCCAGCAGCCGTGTGGCCCCAGGCATCCAGCCCTGCTCCCTGCTAGAGCCCGCACCGTGAGCGGGTCTCCTGCGGCTGGGGCTCCGCTGCAAAGAGAGATGGCACTGGGAGGACTAACGCCAAGGGGTTGGCACCTGGAGAAGGCCTTGGGGACACCTGCCATCCTGGCTCCCTGGCACCGGGCACTAGGGCTGGGTGAACCTGCTGGCACACCAGGACAGCTATCTCAGCAACCACATGATGTAAGCTGGGACATGCTCTGGGCTGGGGCAGCCAGCCCAGATGTGGGGAGCTGTGGGGGACACTTGTGGAACACTGGCCTCAGCCCAGCTGACAGGGTTAGGAGCAGGCTGGTGTTTCTGCACCCGTGCACAAGGACCCAGGCTGCTGAGCAAGCCCCACCCTTGGTCCCTAGCTCAGCGTGGCCCCTGGCTGCAGTCAGGATGGTAGCACCCTGGCAGGACGGGAGCTTCACAATGATGAGTGAATGGGCCCGGGATGGGACTACAGAAGCTGTGGCAGGACAGGCTGTGCCCCTCCTAGGAGTCTGAGGAGAAATGGGGTGTCATGGCTCCCCACACCCCACACTGGGGCAGCAATGGCTCCTGCCACCCTGGGGCTGCCCCCTCTCCAAAATAATGACCCCCAAAATGGCAAGTGGCAGCAAGAGACATGTTTGGGAGAGCCAGCCCCCACCGTGCCCCCGTCGTGGCTCCCCCACTGCTACTCAAAGGACAACAGGTCGGGATGGGGTCCCTCTGCCTCCCGGCTGGGGGTGCATGACTCTGGCCGCCCTGTGCTCCCTGGCAGCTCATGCTCCAGCCCTGATCTCCGAGAGGGCTTCTCTGTGCGGGGTGAGGTCTCAGTGGCCCTCTCGCCTGCTCGCCAGTGGCTCTCCAGGCTGCCCTTATGAATGAGGTCAGGCACGGGGAGGGCAGTGGTAGGCTGGTCCCCGCTCGGCTGTGGGGGGATCTGGAGGGGATGGGTCCCTCATCCCCAGCCACTCCTCTGCAGGGTCGGGGTGGGCCACGGGCAGTTCGGGGGCCTCCTCCGTGTTGCTCCTTGGGGTGGTCCCAGCCAGCTGCGGCGCGATGAGCATATCCTGTGGGGTCTTCAAGGCACGCGGCGTCCGCTTCTTGGTGACGGGGGGTGGGGGGTCCAGCCGCGGGAAGGTGTCCAGCCCCACAGCCCTGCGAGCACAGAGGAGCAGTGACATGCAGCCCCACGCTGGGGCCCCTCCAGCCTGTCCCAACGGCCCTGCCACAGGGTGCATGGCACAGGGACACTCACCCATCCTCACTGGCCATCTGTCCTGCGCCCAGCATGGCCCCAGCGCTGGCATTCACCTCCATCACCCCCACGCTAGGGAGGCCAGCTGGCTCCTTGCGGCGCAGGAGGTCATTCACCTTGGCCCCCACGGCCTTGCCCAGGTTGCGGAGGTGCTGGCTGCTGGCAGGGCGGGAGGGCTGCAGCGGGGCGCCTGCTGCAGCGGGGACGTGCTGTGGCCGCGGGGTGGGTGCTGTGCTGGCACTGGCATTCTCAAACATGCTCTGGTCCACTGGTGGGGGAAAGAGAAGAGAGAAGGGGGTGTGAGCTGGGCTGGAGGAGGGACCCCGGCAGGGACAGCATGTCCCAGAGTTGCCCACCAGCTGCCAACCCAGCAGCATGGGGGACACAATCTGGGGGACAGGGAGGCTGCTCCTGCAGCCCCACAGAGGCTGTGGGCAGCTGGGCCATGCCAGGGCTGCACAGGGCAGTGCATGCAGTGGGGACAGCATGGGGGGGGCGAGATGGGGGAGCAGCGAGCCCAGGGCTCCATGCTGGCACTACCAACACACCGAGAGCGTCTCTTACCTGACACGGAGCGACTTGGGAAGCAGGTTGTGGAAAGAGAGAGAGAGAGGATTTACCAAGGGAATGGCAAGGGGACAGTGAGCCTGTCCCTTCCACACTGCTGGGTGAGGTGCGCTGCCTACCCCCTGCCCAGACCTGCCACACTGCCCGTGGAGGTGGGACTTATGTGGGGCCTTATCAGCCAGGCACCCACAAAGCAGCGGGGGTTCTCTGGGGGCACCCACAACCTGGGCTCTACACTGCCCACCCCACCAAGACTCCCTCTCCAGCCCAGGCTGGCTGTTCCCTTGCACTGGCCAAGCTCCCCAGAGACCCTGGGGGCTGAGCCCACTGCTCAGGAGCATCCTGCTGTGCACCATACACACATGTGACATCAGCCCTTTGTGACGTCAGCTGATGACGGCATGGGTACCATGGCGCAGGAGCCATATACCGGCTACACGAGGGTGATGGAGAGCTTTGTCCTGCCCACCATTTCCATCGGGGCCATGCCCCGCGGCACCAGGACAAGAAGCCCGGAGGCCCCATGCCCCTGGGGCCCTGCCAGCCTGTCTGGTGAGCCTGGTGCTCACCAGCTGCGGCCAGGCTGGGGGTGCAGGCAGCCGGCACTGCCTGTGGGGAGGGCTCCCCCCTTGCATCCCCTGGGCATGGCCACGGCACCGCTCAGCCTCCCATGGCACAGCAAGGGCCTGCTGGCAGACAGGCTGCAGAAGGGTTTAGCTGGGCATATCCTCCTGCACGGGTGGGGAAGAGGGACTGGGAACACCCATGGCAGTAGGTGCTTTCTGGGGACCTGGGGGGGTCCTGCCGTCACACCCCACCTCTGAGCTACACCGATTTCTCCC